GACCTTGTTAATAACTTGTACTATCTCTCTAAAAAGGTCCTAATAACACATTAAAATTAAAGATGCTTTTCTTTTAGCACCTGTCAAGCGGTGTAAATTGAGAAATTTTCACATCAGTTTATTAGCCTACTGTAGTGTATTTTCCTAAACACAAACAATTTCAGAGAAATGATGCATAAAGGTTTGGTCATTTCACAAAGAATTCTTATTTACCAGGAGTACTGTCAATTTATTTAATTGTGTTCAATACAAAATCCATGTGGCTACTGATTGCAAATTAACCTCTTGAGAGCCATGACAATTAATAAAAGTAATTATAAGAATGAATGCTTTTTAAGAAAATATTAGGTAAAAGTTTCAAAGCAGTGTATTAGTAATTATGAGGACAAACCTCATTATTGTTAAAGGACGACTAAACATTCTAAATCATATTGTGCGCTTAATAACTCTACATTAGCTATATGGTATAAAACCTTTGGAAACAATATATTTTGTAACATCCACAAAACCACTACTTTTTCTTTCACTATGAGACTACAGAACGTTTAATATGTGAAGAAGTCAGCTCCTAAATCTGTAACGTTCTTTTAGGCCAGCTGATAAAACATCTTAACACTTACATAATACTTTATCTACAACTAATTGATACACATAGTGTGTAGAAGAGTTAACAAAGTATCATCCCCATTATACAGATCAGGAAATCGGAGCACAGAGACGTGGGATTTACACAAGGCCACAGAACAAGCCTCTCTCAGAGCTGAGATTGTTAGAAACTAGGAGATCTATATTTGATGATTTTTCTGGCATCTCGAATTCTACACAAATCATATAGTTAGGTTTTTTTCCAGATTTGTCTATTACTCATTCCTAAATGAAATAACAATGAATCATGATTTTCAAATAACTCTCGTATACTTCTGGCTTTTAGGGAAAAAATATCGTAACTTTTGGTAAACAATTTCTAAATTCTCTTTATCAGCACCTGAGAAAGACAGGGAGAATGTACTTATTTTCATTCTTTTAATAAGTAACTAACAGAAATTATTGACGATAATTATTGGCTGTATGAATACAGCCAATTGGTTCTTAATGACTGGCTGGGTTAAGGGCAAAGCTTCTATTCAGCAACTCACCCAGCCAACAGTTAGTGATACTACTATGAACTGCTGCTCTGCAAATCATTATTGCTTAGTCAACAATATCAAACAAAATTAATTAGTATGGACCGTAAGCGTGACCCAAAGCTCAGCAAAGCCACTGAAAAGACTCCCACTAACTTTAAAGGCTTTGGAGTACGCCCATGGAGAATGTACAATCTTTCTTTCAAATCTGAAACAATGGGGGAACGTAGCAAATGCTCTGTCTCTCTAAGCCTTCTCACCTCTGCATGAAGCTAAAAACGTCTCATGCTGCCTTTTACATGAATAAAGATTTGAAGGTATTCCAAAGACCTTGAGGAAAACAGTGGAGTACATCATCATAAACTGAAACCTTTATTTTTTTAATCAATTAAAAACATTGGCTGAGAAATCTGATAAATTAACTACAAGTTCCGTAAACCGTATAAAATGTAAAGTGTGAATGTGACATTCAACTCAGGTAATTTTGTGATAATACACAGGGCAAGATACCCATTTTGGTAAAAGAAATAACTTTAACCACAACCACATATGGAACATGAACAAAAGGAAAGGGAAATCAAACTCTTGTAAGCCAAACAACCTGAAGCAGGTTAGGGAAAACTCCTTCCTGGGCCAGTTATCCCAGAACTGGGTATCCTGAAGCTTCTGAAGCATCTGGTTCTGACCAGACAGGATACTGTAATGGATGGACTTGCTTGTCTAACTTTAAATAGGAAATTGCTCTCCTAAATCATTTCATGATGTTATTCGCTGTATACAGATACTAGATCAAAAAAAGCATAACTATACATCTAGCAACAGAGGAAACAATTTATAAATATTTTTCTCTCATGGGAAGAAATCGGCCTTCTTACCTGCACATGAAAACGTGACTTCATCCTCTTACCTATTTCCAGCCAGCTGGGATCCTTTACTTTATACTATGCTTGAGCACTGGAAGAATTCTCCCCCTAAAAGTGAGGGGCTTTGACCCCTACCAAATCTAATTATGGTTAAAAAACTACTCCCCTCAGATTTTCAGCCTGTTCCTCTATTAAAATTTGCCCAAGCCATTTAGTAGAAAGGAATGCATGTCTACATCTCTGCTGTTTCAATACAGTCCAGAATCACACCTTTAACTACTGGTAAAAATGGTCTTTGCCTACACCAGTAAGTAGAGCTTACCAGTAGGAGCAAATCCACAGTGCAAAATAATTGGTGCTGAGGACCTGACACCCACACTATGCACATTTCAGGGCTGTGTCTTCCCCATGCCACTTTGCACTCACTGGTCTGGTCCCACAGACCGAATGCCCACTTGTGGCTAGAGCGCACTAGGTGTGCTCCTGAGGCACATCCTTCAGGTCAGTTTCATCGGAGAGGAAATCCAGTTCACGTGTTCCAGGGCCATTCCATAATTCGAAGCAAGGCATAATTCGAAGTAAGTGGGGATAACTGGGAGATTCACCTCCAAAGCAAACTCCTCATCCAGACTACAACACTAATTTTGATGCACCTTATTGTTACGTCTGTAATTAAAAAGATATTACCCGTTTGACTGGTGAAGATGGTGTCCAGCAAAAAAAGGTTGTATATTCAGCAAATAAAAAGCAACTCTAAATCTAAATTCTGTGTGTATGTTTCCTGCATACTGAATTTGTTACTCAACCTCATTTATGTTTTGCCCACAGATTTATACAATTCTTTCTTCACAGTATTACTAATTCTCAAAATTAAAAATGGATTCCATTCAACATGTCCTCCACAGATAAAAGGTAGACTTAAACTGTAAACTTATTAAATATGCACATTTTGTATTAGTGTCTACTTCAAAAGAAAATCATTGTGTAAGATACATATGAAAGAAAGTGAACTTATTTTAAAAGATTTTCAAAGACCATGCTAGTGGTGCATATAAAAACAGAGAGCTTCCAACTTAAATTATTGAACAATAGATATTATTCCATAATAGCTGTCTGATAATAAACATCATGACCTTTTCTATTTTTGGGTGTTAGAAAATAATAGAACATCTATTTGTCTTATCAAAAGTTTATGTATACATAAAAGTCAAGAACTTGTAAAAGAGACTCATACAAAGAGAGGGAAATGAACAACCAGAGTCCTCCTGAATGGGCACTGTGATGAGCTTTTTAATTACAAAATTAATGGGGGAAAATGTCTACTATGATTACTGTTAAAGATTTATATTTATCAAGATATGTTGCATTCAGGAACGTCAAAAATATTTCACTACTAATATCTAACATCTGCCTGAATACATTCTTCACTTAAAAAAATTAAATACTATGTAATTCTAATAGTAATTTAAATTACTTCTGTTTAAATGAGCTTACATAAATGAAAGTTTAACTTCTGACAAACCAAGCTACATCCTAACCTTACTCCATTCTAGCGAAATCCTTTATTAACTAAATAATATTCTAAGCCTTTGGCTGCAAACATGTTATTTAAGACAATGGAACTGACTTGACTTATAGAAGACACTAAAAAGATAATTCACTCAAGTCTATATGAGCATCTACTAACTGTATCTTTTCTACAGTGGATAAGGGAATTTTTGCCCCATTTCAGTCTATTTACCTATTTCACATTCAAGATTAGTTTTATTGAGAAAATGACTATAAATTTAAAACAGGAGCCTACACATTCCAACCTCTGAATAAAGCTGTGCTGGGAAAAAACTGTTCTAAAATCCTAAAGAACAAGATGAAAAGAAACAAAATACTTTTTTTTTTTTTTAAAGAAAAAACCACTACTCTGTTAGTAATTAAGGAACTAATACACAGGGAAAAGGTAGATTTGTTAGAACTATGCTTTCCACTTAAAACATTGATTTATTACACAACCTTAAAATGTTCATTTGAAATATTTCAATTTTAAATTCAATTTCTAACCCAATATAAGTCATGAAATTAAAATGAATCATTACCTTAAAAAAAAAAAAACAAAACACACACACACACCCTTAAACAATTTTTGGCGTTAACATATAGAAAAACTAAGAACACGAATGAAAGTTAGATTATTCAATTGCTGAAACATTTTCCTATGGGGTATACATTATATGTGATGTGTATATTCATACACACACATGTATACGAGATATATTTTCCTACCTATCAAACCAAAACAGAAAAAAATCTCTAGGATGCACTTTTTATTTTTAAGGAAAACAAGTAAACTGTTGATAGGCAAACAAAGATTAAACTGGATTACCGGAATCAAAGTTTCTTATCAGTTCCTGTAACTCAATTCACATTGCTTAGCATATCAATGTCTGCCTTATGCAAGGGCTTGAATACATAGGAACTCAGAAAACCTACAGGGAGCCAAATGAATTCAAGCATGATAAGCACCCATGTGGGTGCTCCCATTTGGGAACAACGTGGTTTTCAGTTCTGGCGGTTTAATATACAGAATCTAAAACCAAATTTTCCATGGTGACATCCACAGTGTTTCATGCGTTTTCATTATATTTTCTTCACCTTGTATTTATTCTCTTTCCTCTTTCCCAAGTTTCCTTCTAAAATCTTGCCTTAGACTTAAGTAATATTATTATATTACTTAACGCTAGCAATGAGCGTTCACTTAAAAGACTTTAAGGAAGAACTTGTTATGAAACATGAGCAAGGTCTTCCGAAAGCCCAAGTATTCGAGAATGATCACAGTACGTATTAGCAATATAAATGTAACTTCAAAATGAAATAAGATCAAACTATACAAAGTTCATAACTTTTACTTAGAAACAGATAAGCAACCATATAAAGCACAAGGATTGTGTTCCTCAACACTTCACATTTTCATTTATATAACATGTTCAATATATCAGATCAAAATACAGTAAAAACCTACCTTGAAGATGGCAACATGCTCGTAGGCTTGAAGTTTGTTATAAACGGATTAGTTGAATCATAATCAAAACTCTCCTGATGAGTTTCACCAAATGCACTAGGTGATTTCAAATCAGTAGAACTGTCTGATCCCCCGTTGCTAAGTTTATCTGATCTCTTGCTATCCTTTTTTCCAGTCACTCTTTCAAAAAGGCTAACTTTCTCTTTTTTCTCTTTTTTAATTTCTTTTTTGATTTCAACAGGTTTGGAAAACAGACTTATGTTTTGATCCCATGTCGCTGGGCTTTCTTCAAATGGATTCTTCTGTCTTGGCAGCGTTGCAAATTTTTGGGGTAACGAAGCACTCACATTGGTAAATGGGTCGTTTTGTGCTTCAAAGGCAGTTTCATCAACTGTGCTGTCAAGCTGGTTCGTTTTAGAAGTATCAACACTTAATGTCCTTCTATGTGGAGATTTTAGACTCCCTGCAAACAATTTGTCATTAGTTTATAATCAAGGAGATATTATATCATAGTTTATGACATGCAGAGAACTTCATTTTAAAAAGTTTCATTTTAGCTTAGATCTAGAAGATTTGCAATCAAATCTCAGTTCAAAACACAGTTGAATAATTAACCAGTTTTACACAAAATGAACAGCTGTGGTCATGATTTTGTGGTTAGGAAATGTTTAAGGAAGCAATAGACCATACAGTATACTTTTTTTTCCTGTGTGAAAACTAGGTATTACTGAGAAGATAGCTGTGACTAGTGTGGCATTTCAGAAAAAAGACAGTAGTCCGTTTTGCATAACAACTTTGAGCAATGGAAAATATTTTCAGTTCTTCATATATCTTGGGTCTAAAACCTTGATGACAGTCTTCAATTTGCTAAAGCAGACTTTAATTTTTCACAAGATAAACTACTTGCACCTAAAATTCCATCTAGAATGCAATGCTTCATTACAACAAACTTTCAAATGAGAAGATAGGAAAACTGATGAATTATCATAAAGTATGACCAAACCTTATGCTCTGAAACAGCATTTACGAGTTACCATCAAATAACGGAAGTGAAAAAAATAGGTCAGTAATAATCCTTAATTTTTTGGTCTTGCATTTGCTCCATAAACTAAAGAAACAAATTCTTGAATGCTTTCATACTCATAGTAATGAACTGTAATTATAATGGCTAAAATTAAGCACCAAGTGTTGTACTTACCACCCTCATCAATTGAACCAAAAGACTCTAGCTGACGCCTGAAAAGATGAGAGTAGCCAATTGTGCTGGATTTCGCTTTTTCTGAAGAGACATGTGATCCTGTTAAATCTGACATCGAGTGAGCTGAAGATAGTCGCTGAGGTCCCAGAAGGAAAGGTTTTTTTGGTTTTGATTTCACTTGTACTTCACTACTGTATACCTCTATGCTTGCATCAGGTAGGTGAGTGCTTGGAATGATCGCAGAAGATGTATCTGAAAACGTCCCATCATTTTTTCGACCCTTCATTTTGTCTTTTAGTTTAGCAAAAGGAGATTTGGTTTTGTCCTTCATTGACAAATCAAACATACTTGCTGTCATGTTATTCCTCATAAACTGAATATTGACCTTTATTTCTCCTCTGTCTTTCGTTCTCTTTCCTTGTTTGGACTCTAGGCTAAACCACCTTAAAGGAGAAAAAGAGCAAGTTATGTCGTGTTTTCTGGAGGCTAGTCATTAAAGCATATGTTATTTCATCCATGTATCTGGCTAGTAAAATTTAAAAACATGAAAACTGAATTCCAAAGTAAAAATTAAAACACTCCTGTATTGAAAAACTTTTTTGTCTTCATTTGTTTTTGAAAGAAAAAATAAATGAACAAGCAAAAAGCTTTTTGCACTGTTCTCTTGTTTCAAGGACCAAAGTCAATTCAGTGGAAGCATTCTAAACTTCATCAAAGTTAAAGGGCTCGCATCTGCTTGCAAAGAAGAATTTATATCTAACATTAATTATAGATACAAATAAATTTTATTTTGCCTTTTAAAAGAACACTGACATTTTTCAGGTGGCCTTTACTTCGCAGTGATGTATTACCTGAATGTATACTACGTGCCAAATATTTCACCCAGTAACCTTTACTCCTTTGATTTTACTTAGGTTTATATGCCAGTAAGCATTTTTCCCTCTGCCCCTTCCTCCTAACTGATGGTTAAGATATATGTCAGCCACACTAGCAAAGAAATATCTGAGACCCTTGAATGATTTACAGTCAACCATCATTTCAGTTGTGCAGCTACAACCCCTACTGACTTTGATAGTAACTCCATGAGCACCAGTGTCAGAATGGGGAGCGCCTAGGTGTTATCTTAACACTTTTCCCCTTTTTTTGCAGGTCACCAATAACTTCAGCATTATTTCCACAGGATTTGAAACAGTGACATAGCCCTCTACTCCTTGAAGAGAGATCAAAGGTGTTGTTATTTGTTTCCAAAAGCCAAGTGTGCTTCTTGGCCAGTCCAATAAAGGCTTTATCATCATCCACGTCTTATTCCTTCCCTATAGTGCTTCGTTGTCCCATGGAAGTATCTGCAGAGTTATGGCTCATTCTTTCTTCTACGACTTCACCTAAATGAATGAGCGACAGACTCCCTACTCTACACATATCATCAACAGTCTTTTTCTATTCCAAAAAGGGCACAAGGGCATACTTCAAACGGGGCTACACCAGCCCCAAAGATGTGCCCTAAACCCATGTGATTATGTTCTCATCCTCTCTACTGCCATTCTTCCTCTTTTTGGAGGATTTGAGGATTTTTCTAGTACTTCTCCCATCATATGACAAGTCCTATAGGGCTTATTTCATTGTTTGGTATCATGAAGGAAAAGAAACACACTAGTTTCCAAACTCACCGAAAAGGTTCAGAGAAGAGAAGACAAATCACCTAAAGGGCAAGCTCTTTTACCCATCTAGAGATGATGCTACAGCCATGAGTCTTAGAAAAGTGTGCAAATCCTTCACAAACGTTACAGAATTACATTATTTATTCTGTATATGTAAATTTACATAGATACATATTTATTTATTTCTAACTCCATGCTTACATAAGCTAGACCAGTAGAAAGACTTGGCTAAATTTTGGAGGGTTAGCAACCCCACAGCTACTGTATTACTGTCCTATACCATAGCGTATTGTCAGGAAAAAATGCATGCACACATACTAACACCATAGTATATTATCATGATGGAACAACTTTTGAACTGGAGACTTAAAAGCGAGATTGCCTATCAACACAGATGTGAAATTGATCATGCAGCTATACATATATTATTCAACACTGTCAAATACAGAAAACAAGGTCAAAAAGGGAGAAAAATAGCCCTCAATTTCCTTTTAGATTTCATAAATATTTTTAAAGGTGACAGCTGAAATCGAGTTTTCAAGCAGAGATACCATTTTTTGAGTTGACAAAACACCTCTAAAGGTGACCTGCCAAAGAAATAATAAAGGGGAAAGGGTATTATGCTTTTTTGTTGCTTTGCGATGTCCCACTGAAACACAACAATAAAAAAAAGTAAGATCTTCTCTATCCTAACACAGGACAATGTGGATCCAGATCAGTGGACCTAGAAGTTCAGAAAGGTAGAAGGACAATTAAATCTTTAGGAAGAAAGCTTTTCTTCTGTTTGTGAGAAAATTTCTGTTATATATATATATTTATATATGTGTATATATATATGCGTGTGTGCGCACGCGCAGGCACGCATATACATGCGTGTGTGTATATGTGTGTGTGTATATACATATATGTGTGTGCACACACATATATATGTACACACACACACATATATAAAATGACATGCAAATAATGAAATCTGTCAACTGTATGAAGAATGCACATCATTTTCCCTTTTAGCTAACAAGATTTCACTTCTAGGTTACTTATTCCAGAAACTCCTTAATTCACCCACAGAGTCTTTAATGAAAATGTAAACAACAGAAGCCAGTCTTCTTTATGTATTGCAAAATTGTAAGAGAAGGTATCCTACCTTCTTTAAAACTCTTAACAGAAAAAAAAGAAAAAGAAGAAAACCTAAAACACAGCCATTAGAAGTAAGCCTTTGCCAACAAATTTCCATCAGATTTAGGCCATATATTTTCAATTAAAACAGATTTTGCTTGTGCAAGAAAACCCATCCTGAACCCGAGAAAGTACTTCCCGTGATTGCTTAGAGAGTCACTAAAATTAACAAGAGATCTTATATACATATATATATATACACAGAGAGAGAGAGCACACGTGCAAGAGCAAGCAAGCAAACTCAGGAGTGTTTTAGAGAGGCTTAATAGGCAGAGATCTAAAAAAATGTCCTGTAGAAGGACCTCACTTTTTGAGATTCAAACTTAACGGCTCAGCCTACACTGTAAGGAAACATTTTCTCCTTCTACCTCTTTCCCTCCTTGCACAGGTCTCAAATGTTAATATCACATCTCTGATAAGATTCATGAATTTTCATATGTTTCCAGTTAGAAATCAATGAAACTTTAAACTGCTGTATGATATTGCGAACCTGTTTCAGAACAATGTCAAGACATAAATTCTTAAGCTTCTGCTGTACAGAAGGAAGCTTTTCCTTTTAAAGCAACATAATTATTGACATCCTTATCGTGAATTAATAAGTACTCCGCGTCACTATCAGTATTCACCTGCTAATGGCTTATCTATGTATACTATTTTAACATTCACTAACTCTGAAGGAGAGAATTTCAGTATACAACGAGTACTTTGCCTCTGCAGTTTGTACATTTGTTTTCTAAGCAGACTTTGAAGAACTTTATACCAAAAATAAGTTCAGCTGGAAAAGCAAACAAAGAAAGTATTCTCACTCGAGTATGATAACCGAATCTCACAAGGGACTGGATCTCGTACATGTTGGGACTAAGATCAACACCACTACTGATTCCACAATAATTTAATCATAAACTTTTAACTCAAGCAAAATTCCTCTGGATTTCAGTGGAATTTCTGTTGGAATGATTGCTAGATCAGATCTTTTTTAAAAAACTTATATATTTAATTTTATAAGTATTTTATGGAGTTTTTTTTGTTACCTGGGAGTGTTTATCTTGTTTTAGTTATAATGAAGGTTCCATATGCTTCAGCTTATAACAAGAGAATATGAGAAGCAGATTCAGTTCATGATTTTCTTCAAATTCAAAGGCAAATGATTATTTTTTAAGCAGATGAGAATAAACGCAAACAATAATAAGACTTGTGTGGAGTTGCACGTGAATGAGCAACTGAGTCTGTAAATGTTTCTCATTAAAATCTGCTTCTACAACACATGGGCATGAGCAGCAAGGAGAGTAAACAGTATTGTATACAACAGAAAAAAAGAACTGGGCAATAAAGTCCAGTGTTTTCAGATAACAACATTTTGGTTCTAAAATACTAAATTCCAGTGGTATCACTGCCAATTTTCAAAATTGTAATGTATTATAAAAGTCAATAAAACTTGCTATTTTGGTTTTGCTTACAGTACTTTTGGCCACAATAAATGCTCCATTTGTCAGGCTGCCATGAGCTTATTCTATAGAAAGCCTGTACAGAATAGGAAAATAGCCAATAACCTATACGAACAAAACAGGGTGGCTTTTATGAGAGCAGATGCCCTTTTATTTAATAACCAAATATTACATCCAGTCTTGCAGACAGTCTTTATTTAAACAGACCTTGTACAAAGTCTGGCAAATTTTCTCAACTGCAAAGAAAGCCCTGTTGCCTTCTGAATCACATTCATACTTCTTGCTCTCACCTTCAAATGTTCTGCAGGACGTTGTCCTCCAAACACCCTCTAATTTCTGCTTTTCCCCTATGGTTTCCATCAGAACCTTTTCTTACTTCTTTTTCTCTTTTGCTTTTGAGGAGTGTGCTAAGGGGCTTCCTCTGTCTTGCACAGGATTCTGATTATTTTTATTTTGCAAGTATTATATAAATTGCCATTCTCTCTTCTGGCAATTTTTGGAACGCACTCACAGAGATCAAGATTCAAGGCTGAACAGGAAAAAACCTGTTGGGTAGTCAAACCATAAAAAACGGAGCCCTATCTGAATGAACATTGCTATTTTCTTACAGTGAAGAAATTATTTGGCCATACCTATGATTAAGCATGAAAAAAGAAACTTTCCCTTTTTCTGGGAAAGGCAGTAATAATCTTCTGCATACTACTGAAGTAAATCACATAATATTAGCAGTACCAAACCCTTTACCTTAGCAAAGGTAGACAGGAAGAGCTGAAGAAAATTGAACTAAGGTACTATTAGGGAGCAAGTTATAAAATTCTGGCCTGCCTGTTCCATCTATCTGGTTAGTGTTTTACAAACACATTTATACATTCAACACAATTTCTTAAAGTGTTCTTTTCTTTCCCTTTTTTCTGGTTTCATTTTCAACTCACTTTTGCTTTTCTGTACTAAACACATGATGCACTTCATCCTGCACTCAATAAATATTTTGAAACCAGTACCTTGTTTTTCTTCTAATAGCAGCATGTTGTCATGGTGTCTTATTCTCAAAAACTGCCATGGAATTTGACAGTCCCAAGACTTAGCCCTCTCTCTTGCTTGAAGAAGGATCACTCGAAATATTCTCCTTGCTATATGATTAACACTATGGGTAAGAAAAAT